AAATCGTGTTGGACCTATAGTTCAATTTTGGAGAGGGCTGAAATTTTTAAAATATTGAGTCTTTCTAGATAAGAATTAGTATATATTTCACTCTCTTTGTTTAGATCTTCTTTCATATTTTTCAATAAAATTTTGTAATTTTTCATAAAAGATTTTTCACTTCTTTTTGTTAGATTTATATGTATCACTAGCTTTTTTGTATGTTTGTTTTACATTTTTTAGGCTATGATAAATGGTATCCTTTTAAAATAGAAGTCCGATTTTTATGCAGTGAAATGCTCAGTTCTTCAGTTACTGCTCAATGAGTTCTAGCAGATGTATACACTTGTGCAACCCACACCCTTGTCAAGACACAGAACATTTCCATCACTTGTGGCCTTTCTGAGTCAATCTCCACCACCCTCCCCACCCCAGAAGCAACCACTGATCTGATTTCTATCACCATAGATTAGTTTTGCTTATTCTAGGATTTCATAAGTGTTATCTTTTTTAAGAAAATAGCATTTTCTGATTGATTGTTGCTAATGCACCAACACACAGTAAACTTTGTATATTGATTGTGTATTCACTCACGTTGTAAAGTTACTGTATTGATTCTGGTTATTTATCTGTATATTCTTTTGGGCTCTTTGTGTTGACAGTGGTATCTTCTGCATTTGCCCAATTTCTTCCTCCCTTCTTCCCTCCCTTCCCTCCCTCCCTCCCCTCCCCTCCCCTCTCCTCCCTTCCCCTCCCCCTCACTCCCTTCCTTTCTTTCCTTCCTTCCTTCCTTCCTTCCTTCCTTCCTGTTTTGTCTTGCAGTGCAAGCTAAGATCTTCAATGCAGTGTTGACTCGAAATGGTAATGGGGACACCCTACCTTAGTTCTGATTTCAAATGCCAGGGAATCTTTTCAACATTTCCCCATTAAATATAATATTCTGCTTTTTATTTAACATGAAGGTTTAAGATTTTTTTGAAGATGCTCTCTTTATCAGGTTACAGAAATTCCTTTCCACTCTTCCTTTCCACTCTTCCTTTGCCACTCTTTTTCTTTCTTTCTTTCTTTCTTTCTCTTTCTTTTTTAAGATTTTATTTATTTATTTGAGGGAGGGAGGGAGAGAGAGAGAGAGAGAGAGAGCGCACAAGGTGGAGGGGAGCGGCAGAGGGAGAGGGAGAAGCAGGCTCTCCACTGAGCAAGGAGCCCGATGCAGTTCTCAATCCCAGGACCCTGGGATCATGACCTGAGCCAAAGGCAGATGCTTAACTGACTGAGCCACCTAGGTGCCCCTCTTTCTCTCTTTCTTTATCACAAATGGATGTTGAATTGCTACTCTTACTAATCTCTTTTCAACAGAGAAAGCACAAGCCTTGGGCAGGCAATAGAATCCAGTTGGACTTTACTAACGCTGTTTACATCATATTTATTTTACACTGCCTTCTTTTTATAGCAAATGATCCTAGTTTCCTTTTGATAGAAGGATGTAAAGTTCTCTTCTTAAATACATTTATTTAAGTTAAGGTTTATTTATTTACCTTATTTTATTTTTTTAAAGATTTTATTTATTTATTTGACAGAATTAGAGAGAGAGGGAGAGGAAGAGAGAGAGCACAAGCAGGGGGAGTGGCAGAAGGAGAGGAGAGAGAGAATGGGAGCCCAATGGGGCTCAAGCCCAGGACCCCGGGAAGCTGGAGGCAGAAGCTTAACTGACTGAGCCACCCAGGCATCCCTAAGTTAAAGTTTATTTAAAGTTCATGTTCCATAGATAGTGGGATAGGTATACTGCGGATGCAGTAATAATTGAGAAGAAGATACAGTCTGAAGATGGAAGTGTGAGATCCACGGGTACAATGAACACTGTACTGACTTGATTCACATATGTTACTGCAGCATAGTGCTTGCAGTCATACTGACTGGGTTTGCACCCTGGCTGGCTGTCCTTGCCTCAGTTTCCTTATCTGTAAAATGATGATATAATAGTACTTGCAGAATTCCATTACACACACAGACACACACACACACACACACATGCACAAAGGTGGGGTGGGGAGTGAATATGAGTGGGGGGGAGGGATATGGAGGGAGAAAGAGAGAGAGAAAGTCAAACTCATAGAAACGGAGAGTAGAAGGGGCTGAGGTGAGGGATGAGGAAAATGGGGAGATGTTGGTCAAAGGGTACAAAATTGCAGTTAGGTAGGATGAATCCATCTAGGGATCTAATGCACAGGCATGATGTCCTTAAGAATACTGTATTGAGGAGCGCCTGGGCGGCTCAGTCGGTTAAGCATCTGACTCTTGATTTTGGCTCAGGTCATGATCTCAGGGTCGTGAAATCCAGCCCTGCATCGGGCTCAGTGCTGAGTGTGGAGTCTGCTTAAGATTCTCTCTTGCCCTCTCCCTCTACCCACCCCACCCCACTCCCACTCCCACACCCATGTGCACACACACTCTCTCTCTCTCAAAAAAAAAATAATACTATATTGAACCTGGAAATATGCTAAGAGAGTAGATTTCAGGTGTGCTCATCACACACAAAAACAATGACTATGTGAGGAGATGCTATGTTAATTAGCTGGACTGTAGTAATCATTTCACTATGAATATTCATATCAAATAATCACATAGCATGCCTTAAATATACACAATGTTATATATACATTAAAAATATAGAGAGAGAGAGCTGGGATTTGGGCACATGGCAGGTGCTCATGCAAGGCCATGACATAGAACTGGGGTCAAGAAAGGTTGGTTAGAATTCTGTAGGATCTAGGGACCTTAGAGGGAGCTGAGCCCCTTGGGACATTTGGATGAACTGATATCAGGCAAATGCAAGGATGTGAGGTCTTGTTTATAGCAGAACCAAATACGCCAAACCCAGAGTGACATCCTGTATGTCTGACTGCTGCATCAGTTAGTATCTTGTGGTTGCAAGTCACTACAAACCAACCCAAACTGATTTAAAGAAGAAAGGAATGTGTTGGCTCATGAAATCGAAAAGTTAAACATGTTTCCTATAAATGGAACTCTACAATATGTAACCTTTTGTGCCTGGCTTCTTTCACTGAGCATCATGTTTTTGAGGGTTATCCACTCTGTGGCATGTATCAATGCTTCACTCCTTTCTATGGCCTAATACTATTCCATTTTATAGATGTACATTATTTTATTTATCTATTTATCAGTTATAGACATAAGTAAATTCACAGAGACAGAAAACAGACAGTGCCTGCCAGGGAGAAGGAAGAGATTGGGAATGGCAGATGACTACTTAATGGGGGCAGGATTTCCTTTTGGGCTGAGAAAAAAGTTTTGGAACTAGATGAGGTGCTCATTGCATGACATTGTGAGTGGGCTGTCACCGAAATGTACGCTTAAATGGTTCATGGTTAGATTTTTTTTATTGTTGTAAAAGATACACAATATTTATCATTACATATACATACACAAAATGACATAAATATATATTTGATAAATATAAATACAAATTTATATAAATATTTGAATATCATATAAATAAAATAGAATATTTACCATTTTAACCATTTATAAGTATACAATTCAGTGGCATTAAATCCATTCACAATGTTGTGTACCCATTACTACTGTATCCAAAACTGTTCCTCATCCCCAACAGAAATTCTGTCCCCATGAAGCACAGACTCCCCACCCCCACCTCCAACCCCTGGCTCCCACCATCTACTTTCTGTCTCTGTGAATTTGCCTACTCTAGGGACCTCATATAAGTGGAATCCTATAATAATTGTCCATCTGTGTCTGGCTTATTTCACTGAGCATAACGTTTTCAAGGTTCATTCATGCTGTAGCATAAATCAAAATTTCATTCCTTTTTCTGGCTGAGTAATATTCCATCATATGTATATAATGCATTTCGTTATCAGTTAATGGTTAACTTTATGTTATATGAATTTTACCTCAGTAAGCAAGAATTCAAGGGTAGAGTTAGCTTCAGGTACAGCTTGATCTTTATCAGAAGAGGGTGTGGCTTACTGAGAGGGAGCTGGTGCCTTCTTTTTTCCCTTCTGGGCCAGTCCCCAAGTCAGATTGCCCAGGGCTCAGCTTCTCCCCTGTTCTGTTACGTTTCCTCCACCCCCATTTCTGTCTCTCTTCACAGTTCCTGTGCCTTAAGAACATCCGTACCTTTTTGTCTACCTGCTGTGAGAAGTTTGGCCTCAAGCGGAGTGAACTCTTTGAGGCCTTTGACCTCTTCGATGTGCAGGATTTTGGGAAGGTAAGCTGGTGCTGAACTTCCCATGAGCTGGGCACATAGAGCTGGAAGATTGGATTTCAGTCCATTTCCATGAACATTTCCATCAAGAAAGCTAAGTGTTGTTGGGGGAAGAACAGGTAAGTCAGACCAGGCAGTACACCAGGTGCAAAGAGCATGAGATATGGCAGCTGGGTTCCAGTCCCTGCTTTGCTACTTGCTGTGTGACCTCAGATTTGTGACCATGCCTCTCTGAGCCCTAGGTCCCTCCTTTCTAACACAGGAATAATACCATCCTATACTTTCTGAGTGGTTATAAGGATTGCATAGAAGAAGGCGATCGAGTGGTGGGTACTTAGTTAAGGGAACCCTGACCTACTCACATAGAGGAGTGGGAAGGTGGAGAAAATCCTGAATTAGGCTCCTAGGGGCGTGGAATCTAACCATAATATCTAGCCTCAGATATTGGAGTCTGAGGCTATGTTCTGGTGTGTGGGTGGGCAAGGGGCTTGCTGAGCATCCATGGCCTTTGTCACAGGTAATCTACACCCTGTCTGCTCTGTCCTGGACCCCTATTGCCCAGAATAAGGGGATCATGTGAGTAACCATTTGATCTGACATCCTTGGGTTGATCTGGCCCCAATGCTCCCCCTCCTGGAAGTGCCCCTCCCACCTAGCCCCCAGGCCTCTGGCTCATACCATCATGGCTCCTCCAGGCCCTTCCCCACTGAGGAGGAGAGTGTGGGTGATGAAGACATCTACAGCGGCCTATCTGACCAGATTGAGTGAGTGTGTGGGACCCCCACCCTGCTCTGGGGATCTGGGGGGACATGGCCCTGCCCTAGGGAGTCTGAGAGGACATGGCCCTGCCCTAGGGGGTCTGAGGGGACATGGCCCTGCCCTAGGGGGTTTGAGGGGGACATAGTCCTGCCCTAGGGGATCTGAGGGACATAGCCCTACCCTAGGGAGTCTGAGGGGGACATAAACCTGCCCTAGGGGGTCTGAGGGGACATAGCTCTGCCCTAGGGAGTCTGAGGGGGACATAACCCTGCCCTAGGGGGTCTGAGGGACATAGCTCTGCCCTAGGGAGTCTGAGGGGGACATAGCCCTGCCCTAGGAAGTCTGAGGGGGACATAGCCCTGCCCTAGGGAGTCTGAGAGGACATGGCCCTGCCCTGTGGTGGGGGGGGGAGGAGTCTGAGAGGACATGGCTCCGCCCTGTGGATCTGAGGGAACATGAGTTTGAGTTGGGAGGGACCCGAGGGGTTCCTGGCCTGCGGGATCCAGTGGCCCTGGCTGACTCCACACTCCGCAGCGACACGGTGGAGGAGGATGAGGACCTGTACGACTGTGTGGAGAATGAGGAGGCGGAGGGTGATGAGATCTATGAAGACCTCATGCGCTCGGAGCCTATGCCCATGCAGGTGCGTGGGGCGGAGTGTGGTGTCTGCGCGGGCGTATGGGCTGGTGGGGGAGGCAGGCCCGGGCTCCCCAACACCGACCTGTCCTCCCCATTCTCAGCCCAAGATGACAGAGTATGACAAGCGGTGCTGTTGCTTGCGGGAGATCCAGCAGACGGAGGAGAAGTATACGGACACGCTAGGCTCCATCCAACAGGTGCGGTGCTCCGACCCAAGCTCTGGCGGGTGCATCCGCATGTGCATGCGCGGGAGCTGGGCGGGCAGGTGCACATCCACCCCTGTGGTGGCCTCTGGGCCACGCCTGAGAAGCCCCCTGTGTCCCAAGCGGGCCTGGGGCTCTTCTCCGTCCTCATTGCTTTGTGTTTCTTCATCTCTCTTCGTCTCTGCTTTTCTCTTTCATCCTGTCTCCTGTGTTGATCTGTCTCTCTTTCCCTCCGGGTCTCTCCTTAATTCTTCCTCTGTTTGTCTTTCTTTCCCTATGTTTGTCCCTTTATCCCTGTCTGTATCTGTTCCTGAATCCTCGTCCTGTCCGCCTGTCTTGATTATGTCTCTCCAACCTTCTGTTCCCTTCCTTTTGGCCATTGCTTTTTCAACTGCTTTATTGAGATGAATCCAATATACCATACGGCTCACCCATTTAATGGATACAGTTCAGTGGCTTTTGGTTTATTCACAAGGTTGTGCAAGCATCGCCACTGTTAATTTTAGGACATTTTCATCATCCGCCCCAAAGAAAATCCATACCCTTCAGCCATCACCCCATAAGCCCCCATCCTTCCCCAGTCCCTGGCAACTGTTAATCTACTTCCTGTCTCCGTGGATGAGCCTGTTCTGGGCGTGTCACACACGTGGACTCACACCCCGTGTGGCCTTCTGCGTCTGGTTCCCTCCCTGAGCGTCGTGGGCAGCGCATGTCGGCGCCTTGCTCGTATTCAGGGCTGATATTCCCGTGTGAGTGGACCACATCTTGTTATCCATGCATCCACTGATGGCCATTTGACTGATGGACATTTGGGGTGTTCCCACTTTCTGACTATTATGAACAACTGCTGCGAACAGCCAGGTACAGGTGTCTGTGTGGCCATTCTCCCTCTCTCTTTCTCTCCCAGTCGCTCTTTCTGTTTGTCTCTTTCTGACTCTGCCTCCTTGTCCCCATCTCTCTGGGACGGGGCTGGAGGGAGAGGTCTCCCCCTCCCTCACTCTTCTCTCCCCTCCCACAGCACTTCATGAAACCCCTGCAACGGTTCCTCAAACCTCAAGACATTGAGATCATCTTCATCAACATCGAGGTGAGCTGGCCAATCCCCAGTCCTCCTGGCCTCTGTCCAGTGGGGACAACCTACTGGCCCCACCTGTCTCTGGAGTGCGGGGGTTGGGATTTGAGCAACATAGGGCGGGAGGTGACCCATCTCCTGCTTGGGGTCCTGAGCCCTGGCCCTCACCCCTTCCTCCGAGTAGGACCTGCTTCGTGTGCACACTCACTTCCTAAAGGAGATGAAGGAAGCCCTGGCTGCCCCAGGTGCACCCACTCTCTACCAGGTCTTCATCAAATACAAGGAGAGGTGAGACCCAGCTGGCCAGCTCAGACCCCTGGAAGTCACCCTGTCCTGCTCAGGCAGGGCATTTGGGAGAAATTGCCCTCAGAGACTACTGGACAGGCAGGGCTCTTCCTTCTTTGCTCATGGGCAAGGGACTACCCATCTCTGGTTCAGTCACCAGCTCTGCCTCTTTTGAGCTGTGTGGTATTGGGAAACCACTTAACCTCTCTGTGCTTCTGCTGCCACATCTATTAAAGTCAGTGTGGCATAGGAACGTACCTCCTAGGGTGTGGCGAGGATTAAATAAATGATGCCTAAAGTGCTTAGCAAAGGGCCTGGCACGCAGCAGGTGCTCTGTAAGTGTTGGTTAAATGAATGAACATTGGAGAGACACTAGGCCAAGTGCTAAGAGCTTCTTATGCATTATCTCATTCAATGCTACAGTAGCTCCATGTGGGAGGTGCCACTGTTATGCCCATTTTACAGATGGGGAGACCAAGGCTCAGCATCACCCATCTGGGAAGAGGTGGGGCCCAGATTGACACCCAGATCTGCCTGACCGTGGTGCCGGCCACCATTACCCGGCCACCTGTCCTTCCCTCAGGTTCCTTGTCTATGGCCGCTACTGCAGCCAGGTGGAGTCGGCCAGCAAGCACCTGGACCGTGTGGCCGCAGCCCGGGAGGATGTGCAAATGAAGCTGGAGGTGGGGGCCCAGGCCACATCTGGGGGACTCTCTTGCTCCTTCCCAAGGCCCCAGGGGCAGCGGGGAGGGGACTGAGCTCATGGTGCCACTTTCTGCAGCAGCCCGGCCAGTGACCTGCCCGCTGAGGGTTTGGGGAGGGAGGTACTGACCAGCCGAGTGGGAGAAATGGAGCAGGAGGAGGCGGGCAGGAGCACTGAGCCCTGACCCCAGCTGAACCCCAGCTCTGGACTCAGCCCTGACACCAAGCTGAGGTCCTGACCCCGAACTGAACTCTGACTCCAAACTGATCCCCAGGCCAGCGTGGGCTGAGCCCCAGCCTTGGCTGCTCAAGTCCAGGCTGAGCTTCAACTTTACACCGAGCCCCATCCTGGGCTGAGCCCCACCCTGGCCCAGTGTGTCTAGTGGAAGCACAGACAGGGCAGAGATGATGAGGAGTCACCTGTGTGTGTTGTATATCTGGCCTCGTTGGTATCCACTGTGGAGACCCTGCAGACCTGTCCCTCTCTCCCTCGCCAGCCCCACTCAGCTGGTGCGATCCTGGGCTTCTGCCCCAGGCAGTATTTGCCAGCCTTCCAGGAAATTCTTCATTATTTCCTTGGGGGAGATATGATGTTTCATGTTCTAGAAAAATCCACACCTGTCTGCACCTCATCTTGCTCATCTCTTTCTCTGACACCCCCCCCAGGAATGTTCTCAGCGAGCAAACAATGGGAGGTTCACCTTGCGGGACCTGCTGATGGTGCCCATGCAGCGGGTGCTCAAGTACCATCTCCTTCTCCAGGTGCGCGAGTGGGGGCCCCTAGGCGAGGGCTTGGCTTCTGTACCTCTCTGTGTCATAGGAGGGGGTGCGGCTGGCTTCCAGAGGCTGGGCTCTAGGACCCTCTGGGAGGAAGGGGGAAGCTGGCAGGCCAGGCTTGTCTGGAGGGCCCCCAAGAAGAGAGGGCAGGCCCAGGTGATGTCTGTCTCTGTGGGTCATGCAGGAGCTGGTCAAACACACGCAGGATGCGGTGGAGAAGGAGAGCCTGCGGCTGGCCTTGGATGCCATGAGGGTGAGTGGTCCCACACAGGTACACATGCATTCAAGGTAGCGCAGCCCAGGCACACGGTCACCCCCATGGGCAACCCCTCCTCTCATCAAGAGTGACATGACCATGTGACCAGTGAGTGATTCCCAGCATCCCCCTTGGGGACAGGACATGCTGGGGACACCCTCTCTACCCCTCCTACCAGCCCCTGGTGGGGGCTGACTCCCTATCCCCTGCCAGGTAGGGGACTGGGTGGGGTGGGCGGTCCAGGCTCACCACATGTCCCACCCCCAGGACCTGGCACAATGTGTGAACGAGGTCAAACGGGACAACGAGACACTGCGGCAGATCACCAACTTCCAGCTGTCCATTGAGAACCTGGTGAGGGGGTGGGACAGGGAGAGCCAGGGGTGTGGCCATGTGGGGAGGGTGTTTGGTGTTCCTCCTTGGTGGCCCCTTGCCAGACCCCCTTCCTGCTTCATAGGATCAGTCTCTGGCCCACTATGGCCGGCCCAAGATCGATGGGGAGCTCAAGATCACCTCAGTGGAGCGGCGCTCCAAGATGGACAGGTGGGCGGAGCCAACAGATAGAGGGTAGAGCCTGGGCAGGGGTGGGGACAGATTTCTAGTTATACCAGGGGGTGGAGCCTAGGTGGACAGGCCGGGCAGAATAGGTGTAGATGTGTGGGTGGAGCCAAGACCAACAGGTGCTGGGACCAGTACGGATCTTACTGGGTGAGGTCAGGATGGACAGACAGGCGGGCACTGCCAAGTTGGTCACAGAGGAGGAGAAGGGCAGGAATCCTAAATGGACAGCAGGGTGGAGCCAGGAAGGTGGAGGAGATCAGGCAGGGAGCTGGTGGGAGCCAGACAGAGGTACCTGACCCAGCTGCTCTCAGGTACGCCTTCCTGCTCGACAAAGCTCTGCTCATCTGTAAGCGCCGAGGAGACTCCTATGACCTCAAGGACTTTGTGAACCTGCACAGCTTCCAGGTTCGAGATGACTCCTCTGGAGATCGAGAAAACAAGAAGGTGGGCTCTGAGGCCAGAGCTGGGGTCCCCAGTGCTGGGAAGCCCCAGTGCAGCTTAAGGCTCTCCCCTTGACCTTTCAAATGCCAGTGTGTGTGTGTATGTGACCTGAGTGTGTATATGCATGTGAGTGTGCGATTTTAGATTTATGGATGTGTATTTGGTTCTCCTGGGTAGACCCTTACAAAGGTACCCACCCATGCCTGGTTCTTCTGGGGGCAGAGAGGCTGTTTTGGCCTAACCCTGTTCCCCCCCCAGGGGTAGGGGTAAAGAGGGTGTGTGGTCCCACCCTCTGCAGAGCAGGTGCCTTCATTCTAAACCCCACTTCCCTGCAGTGGACTCACATGTTTCTCCTGATCGAGGACCAAGGTGCCCAAGGCTATGAGCTGTTCTTCAAGACACGAGAACTAAAGAAGAAGTGGATGGAGCAGTTCGAGATGGCCATGTGAGACACCCCCCCCCACATCCTGTCCTCAGAGGACTCTGCATACAGGCACGGGCTGAGAGGCAATTCTGTGCTCCATTCTGAACCTCAGTTTCCTCATCTGGGAAATGGGAGGGATAGGCTTTTGATGTTGTCTGCATCGTCAGAATGCCAAGGTTCTGTGTGAGCTTCAGCCACCAGCCTGGACCCCTCTTCTTCCTCCTCCTTCTTTTTCTTTCTCTTCTTTTTTTTTTTTTTAATATTTTATTTATTTATTCATGAGAGACAGAGAGAGAGAGAGAGAGAAGCAGAGGGAGAAGCAGGCTCCCAAGGAGCAGGGAGCCCGATGCGGGACTCGATCCCAGGACCCTGGGATCATGACCTGAGCCGAAGGCAGACGCTTAACCATCTGAGCCACCCAGGCGCCCCCTTTTTCTTTCTCTTCTTGAGGTGAAGTTCATGTAACAGAAATTTAGCTATTTTAAAGTGCATGGTTCAGTGGCATTTAGTACATCACAGTGTTGTGCAACCATCACCCTGTCTAGTTCCAGAGCATTTTCATCCTCTCAAAAGGAAACCCTGCAGCCACGAAGCAGTCACTCCCATTCCCCCTGCTCCCAGCCCCTGGCAACCACCAGTTTGCTTTCTATCTCCATTCATGTTCATAGCAGCACTATTCACAATAGCCAAAAGGTGGCAACAACCCAAATGCCCATCAGTGGACGGATGGAGAGGCACAGTATGGTTTATGCAACGTATCCAATATGGCTCTGATGCATGCAAGTGGCAGCATGTATCCGTACTTCATACCCTTGTGTGGCTGAATACTATTCCACTGCATGGGATTCTCTCCCCTCTCCAGCTCCAACATCTACCCTGAGAACGCTACTGCCAATGGGCATGACTTCCAGATGTTCTCCTTTGAGGAGACCACCTCCTGCAAGGCTTGCCAGATGCTGCTGAGGTGGGCGTATGGGAGGATGGGCCTGGGGCTTGGGCTTGGGCAGCTCTACTCCTTAGAGGGGCTCCCCCAGCCATCTGTCCCCTGAACTGGGAGGTGGGAGGCTCTCCTTTGAGCTTCAGCTCCCCCATCTCTTTCCTGCCCTCAAGAGAACCCAAGGGGACCCTTGGCAAAGTGATCAGCTGTGTCTGTTCGACATCACTGACTTCCCTTTATCTGGTCTTGCTGTCCCAGAGGCACCTTCTATCAGGGATACCGTTGTCATCGGTGCCGGGCACCTGCACACAAGGAGTGTCTGGGACGGGTCCCTCTGTGTGGCCGACATGGGCAAGGTACCAGTGGGACAGAGGGTGGGAGGTGGCCCTGGTTCTGCATGGGGGATTTCCCATCCTCACTATTTCCTTTTCCATCCCATAGATCTTTCAGGAACTATGAAGAAGGTAAGACCCCAATGCTCCTTTTTCTGCATGGAAAATCATGGGGGATAAGGATGGTTGGGCATGGCCCTTTGCTGGGTGCTCACATAGGGGCTGAGGAGGACCCAGGCTGGGCCCAGGTAGCCACGCTTGCTTTCTTGGTCTCTCCCTCCAGGATAAGCCACATCGCCGGGCTCAGGACAAAAAGAGGAATGAGCTGGGTGAGTCCGAGGGGGGTGGGGCAGGAGGAAATCCAGTCTTTGCTTCAGATCTCAACAATTATATTATTGACAACATAGTGTCCTGTTTATAAAGCTGTGATCCATTTGTTCCACTCCTAGAAGCCTGAAAGGAATTTAAAAATAACCAACTCAAATTCTTTACTTGCTTTGCTCAAACCCTAGGAAGAGAATGTAGCACCCCTTGCTAAGGTACTCTCTCTCTTACCATCCACTTTTCTTGTCCACTGACCCTTTTTTCTTTCTCTCTCACAGGCTCCTTCTCTAGCCTTAGTCAACTAGGCACACCTCTGACTGTTCTCCTCTCCTCTCCTCTTGATTCCGTGCCGCAGAATCTTACTATGATATGTGGTTTCAGCAAAATGCCCTCCACCTGGAGGATGGGGAAGCAGAGGACACGGATTCTTTTTAGCCCAGTGGCAGGGGAGAGAGGCTGGACTCATTCCTATGTTAATGTATTTTGTGGAATCACAGCCGTGCTGGGTGATTTGTGTTTACATCTAGCGGATACGTCATCTGGGGCAAAGGATGACTAAAACACCTGTGCTTCTTGTCCTCTGGAAGCTCTCAGATCGGTGGTGGGGGACAGACTTTCATGGTGGGCGAAGTAGAGGGTTTTCTGGAGCATAAAACTGAGGGACCTGACAAATCTGAGCCTTCAGGGAAGGCTTCTCAGAGGAGGAGGCATTTAGGTGGATGTTCGATGGATGAGGAGGAGTTAAGCAGATGAGGAGGAGGGTTGTTCTAGGCAGAGGGAACAGCATGTGCAAAGGCTAGGAGGCAGGGAGGTCCAGGCTTCACTGAACATGTGAGAACAGTTTGGTGTGGCTGGTGGAAGTAAACCCTTTGCTCATAGTCATACAGAGTCAGTGTAAAGACCCAGATTTCATATCTACCTATCCCTAGCTATCTGTATTCACATATAGATGTCACCATATAAAGATCTACAGATGTCTATAATCTAGATCGATAGGTAGATAGATATATCAGGTTTATTTGAAATGGTAAAAAATTAGAAACAACTTAAATGATCTCAATAGGAGGAATGTATATATCATTATATGTATATGTATTGTATAATCAGTTTTATACAAAAAATATATATCAGCTTTATTTGTTTTTGTTTTTGTTTTTTTTTTAAAGATCCTATGTATTTGTCAGAGAGGGAGAGTGAGAGAGAGAGAGAGAGAGAGCACACAAGCAGGGGGAATGGCAGGCAGACGGAGAAGCGGGGTCCCCGCTGAGCCAGGAGCCCGGTGTGGGACTTGATCCCAGGACCCTGGGATCATGACCTGAGCTGAAGGCAGACGCTTAACCGACTGAACCACCCAGGCATCCCTTTATTTGTTTTGTTTTGTGTTTTTTTAAAAAAGATTTTATTTATTTATTTAAGAGAGAGAGACACAGAGCACAAGCAGGGGGAGCGTCAGAGGGAGAGGGAGAAGCAGGCTCATGCTGAGCAGGGGCCTGACGTGGGGCTTGATCTCAGGACCCCGGGATCATGACCTGAGCCAAAGGCAGACCCTTAACCGACTGAGCCACCCAGGTGCCCCAACTTTATGTGTTAAAAACTAGAAGTGACCCAAATGTCCTCAATAGGGGGAAATACATATAAGTGTATATATATCTATTATATATATGTTCATATTTATGCATATCATATATATGTGTTAATATGCACATTTATACATACCCATTATATATATACTTTTTATTAAGATAGAAAATACATACTGTAAGATGTATAATGTGAACACATCTTAACTCTATGGCTCCATGAATTTCTATCCCAGTCACTGCCATGCAGATCAAGGTATAGAACGTTGAACTGAATTCTAGAACTACACAGTCCAATACAAATTAAAACTAGTTTAAATAACTTGAAACTCCTGTATTCAGCCACCCTAGTCACAGTGCATGTGCTCAATAACCACCTCTGGCTAATGACCGCCCTACCAGACAGCACAGACTGTTGAACATCTCCACCACACAGAAAGTTTTCCTGGACAGTGCTGCTGGTCAGTACCCACCTGGCTCTCAGAGGGGACTGCTCTTAGACCTCTGTCACCATAGATGAGTTTTGCCTTTCTTTGAACTGCACAAAAATGAAATCATGTGGTGTGTCCTCTTCCCGCATCTGGCTTCTTTAAGCAGCATGATGTTGGTGAGACTCCCAGTTTGTTCATTGCTGCATAGTATTCCATTGTATGATTCTATCACACTCAGTATATCCATTTTATTTAGGACCTTGGGTTGTTGCCAGTTTTGGGCTTTTGTGAAGAAAGTTTGTCTAGGACTTTCGGTGGACACGAGCATTCGTTTCTCTTGGTCACATACACCTGAGTGCAATTGTCGGGACACAAGCTAGATACCTATTTAGCTTTGGGAGATACTGCCAGAGAGTTTTCCCACGTGGACTCCCACCAGCAATGTAGGAGAGTTCTACATGCTCCATATCCTCACCACCACTTGGTGCTGTCAGTCCCTAATTTTTGCCTTCCCGGTGGGCAGTGAGACTCAGGTGTGAACATCTCTGACCACCAATCACACCGAGCCACCACCTTCTCTCCCTCCAGGCCTGCCCAAGATGGAGGTGTGTCAGGAATACTACGGGCTTCCTCCACCCCCTGGAGCCTTTGGACCTTTTCTACGGCTCAACCCTGGAGACATCGTGGAGCTCACCAAGGCTGAGGCCGAACAGAACTGGTGGGAGGTATAGGCTGGGCTGTGGGAGTGATGGAGAAGGACCTGAGTGTGGGGTCATGGGTGTAGGCAGTCCCGGGAGGTGACTCTGGCAGGGGAGGCTGGTCTGGAGGAGGCATCTGGGGAGGATGGTAAACATGGGGATTTCTAGGGCTGGCCTGGCCCTTCTGAGCTGGCTGTCTTCCCAGGAAGTTGATAGTAGCTGGCACTCCATGGGTCATGCAGGTGCAGAGAGATAGATGGACAGACAGAGTGGCCACTGGGTATAAAGTTCAGTGTGCATGCATGCGTGCGCGCGCGCACACACACACACACACACACACACACACGCATGAATGCCTATAACCTCTCTGTCCATGTCTTTGCCTCCTGGCTTTTTAGGGCAGGAATACGGCTACCAATGAAGTTGGCTGGTTTCCCTGTAACAGAGTCAAGCCCTACGTGCATGTGAGTGCCTCAAATCTGGATGTAGTGAGGGCAAGGGGGTCCAGAGAAGGTCCTGCGGGGGTAGGAAGCCTTGGGGTGATACCCCTGAGATAGGGAGGGGCTGCCCATCATGGCAGGTCATTCCCGAAATCTGTGTTCTGCCTAGTTTGCCTACTGAGCCCAGAGTGGGGGCCACACAGAGAATGATGACCAGTCCTTTCCCCCTTGATTCTTCTTGTATGAAGGTCCTCTCCCTCGTAAAGGAGAAGGAGCAGGGGCCCAGAAGGCTGGCCAGTCCCTGCTTCCTTCAGAGACAGCGAATGTTGTCCCATCTGGGGGGTGGCCACTCACGTCTCCTGGCCCAGCTCCTGTGGACACACCTGCCCACACTTTGCCCGCCTCTGTTCTTCAGTGTCCTCTGCTCACCTGACCACCTTGTTCTCTGATGACCTCAGATTTTTCCCACTCTCCCCAGACCTCCCTCCCTCATGGTAGATGCCCCTCTGCCTGCTTCACAGCCCAAATAGGAACCTGCAGAGGGAAATTCTCTCCTGTTCTGTTGCTTTAATTTTGTATCATTTCAGACTTCCAGAAAGGTTGCTAGAATAATGCAAAGAACTCCAAATAGCCTTTCCCCAGATCCACAAGCTGTCAACATTTTGTCCTATTTGCTCTCTCATTTGCTCTTTCTCTGCACATTTTATTTTAAAAATTCATATTATTTTTTTCTTGAGACATTTAAAAGTTTACAGACATATTTTCCCTTCACCCCTAAATACATTCTAAGAATAAGAACCTTTTCTTAAATAACCATAGCATGATTTTAACAACCATGAATTTGACACTTGACATTGACATTATACTGTGATTAAATTTATAGTCCATATTTAAATTTTGACAGTTTCCCCCAAAATTATCTTTTAGAGATTTTTTTCTTTTTTGGCCTGGGGTCTTCCAGGTTTCTCCACTGTGGAGTTACATTATACATTTCCAACTTCATGGTTCTGTCCAAGTTTATTCGCAGATGTTCTACTGTAAGGACTAGCAGTCTCCTAATCAATCAATTAATTAACCTACCTAGCAATTAGTCATCTATGTATCTAATGATCATCTGTGTATCTATCTGCGTCTTTGCGTATCCATTAATCATTTATATATCAATCTATGTATCAAGCATCTATGTATCTGCGTAGCTGGGTATCTGTCTATCTGCCAATAGGTCAGGTATGTATGCATGCATGTATCTCAGGAAATGCCCGTGGATTCTTGCTTTAAAATTGTCCCAGCTTTGGCCAGTGGGAGCCCTATCAGCCTGGCTCATCTGTTCTTTTGGTGTGTCCCTATTATTCTCTGAGGTCTTCCTTATTTTCTGGCGTAATACCAGACTTACCTTGTACTTCCCATGCCCCAGTCTTGGAATCAACCCTTTTCCCAAGGAGCCCTGGTCCTTTCAGGGGGACATGGCATTCAGAAGCCAAGATCTGGACATCTCTCTAGTTTCTGCTTCCAAATGTACTGCCTTCTTAAAGCTACACCCATCCTAGCCTCCTCCTCTCCCAATACAATGAAGACTCTGAGAAAAAAATAGAAAAAAATGACAATTCTCCTTTCAACTCAAGGATTCCATGCTCCTGGAACCACCTACCTTGCAAGAAACTACTTTGTTCTCTATGTGCCTCTCTGGAGATTCTTAGTGCACATACAAGTAGATACAAATACGGATTTTCATTTCCCCCATGATAGATTCAAAAGATTTGATATTCACTGTTATGCAGCCTTCCCCTCTGCCCCCACCCCTTAATATATCTTGGGATCTTTCCATGGCACTGTACGTAGACCATTTTATTCTTTTTTCCCTTTAAAAAATTGAGGTGAAATTTGAAAAAACATAAACCATTTTATTT